TACCATCCGTTTCTTCATAAAGAAGTAAACACTGGCCAGGTGTTGTGACTCATGCCTTAATCTCAAGCAGGAAGATTGAAAATTTAAGGCCCAGCCTTGAACTTCAGTGAAACGTCATCTCACACACACAAAAAAAAGAGCCTAGGGATGCAGCTCAGTGATACTGGGGCAAAAAAGAAAAGAGTATAAAACACTGGAAGGTGTGCAGAAGGGATGAGCCACATGTCTGCATCTTGATGTCCTGCCTATCCCAAAACCATGTTTTGTTTTTGACAGATACTGGTAAGTGCAAATTATGATCTTCCTACCAAAGACTTGAGTCTTTGTGTGTTTTGAAAATGCATAAATAGCTGATAAAGATGGCATGGTAGAATTCATGGTGATAAGATGAGAGTCACCTGGGTAGAGGTAGAGACGCATAATCTCAGCACTTAGGAGGCAGAGGCACAGGATCAAAAGTTCAGGGTCATCTTTGGCTACACAGTGAGTTTGAGTCAGGCTAGGCTATGTAAGACCATCTCAAGAAACAAAAACAATAAAAATAATTCATTAAAAATAAAGACAGCCGGGCATGGTGGTGCATGCCTGTAGTCCCAGCACTTGGGAGGCAGAGGCAGGCGGATCTCTGAGTTCAAGGCCAGCCTGGTCTACATAATGAGTTCCAGGTGAGCTGGGGGCTACAGGGAGACCCCGTTTCAAAAAGACAAAAATAAAAAAGACAGGCTGGAGAGATGGCTCAGCAGTTAAGAACACTGATTGTTCTTACAGAAGACCCGGGTTCGAATCCCAGCACCCACATGGCAGCTAAGAGCTGTCCATAACTCCAGTTTCAGGGGATCCAACAGCCTCTTCTGTCCTCTGTGGGCATTGCATGACATGGGTGCACTTACATGCAGGCAATACACGCATACACATAAAATAACAAAATTTTTTAATCATAAATAAAAATTTAAAAGACAAAGGCCAGGTAGGGTGTCACACACCTTTAATCCCCGAACTCGGGAGGCAGAGGCAGGTGGACCTCTGTGAGAGGTCTACATAGTAAGTTCCAGGCCAGCTGGGGCTGCAGGGAGACCCTGTCTCAAAAAGCCAAAAAATAAAAATGAAAAAGGCAAAAGACTCCTGTGTCCACAAAGAAAAGCTATCTGTCAGGGTTCTGTCACTCCTGCCAGGCCTTCCAGCCCCTCTCACAAAACTTGCCCCCTTCCAGCATCACAGATCAGCATCTTTGGCCATGGCTTCCTGTCCTCCCAGCTGGCTCTCCTGTTCTTTGATGGCATGCTTTGACTTGGTTGACCTTCCTGAGGTAATTCACCTCCCATGTTATAGCTCATTAGTGGATAACATGCTTGTTAATATCCTTGAGTTCCCCTACCCCTCTTGACATATGATGAATCCTCACTTTGGACAAGTGTCCATTTTTATTTTATACCAGCATTCAAAACCAGTTTAGCACTGCTGAGGGAAGAAGGGAAAAAAAAGAAAGAAAAAGGAAAAAAGAAATCTCTAAACACACCCTGATGCTCAGCCGTAGGACCTGGACACTGCTTCAGGATTTCCTGTATTTCTCCAGTCATTTCACTCTGGCCACTTCCCGATTACTGAAGACCTTTGCTGCACGAGTCCCAGCTGCTCAGGAGGCTGAAGCAGGAGGGTCACTGATATGCCTAGGAAATGGATACAAGCTTGGGCAACAAAAAACACCCTCTCCCTCCCCCTGTGTTGATTGTTTGAGACAGGGTCTTATTAGGTAGCCCTAGCTGGCCTTTAACTTGGTATGTACATCAAGCTGGCCTTCCACTCACAGAAATGTGCCTGCTAGAACTAAAGGGCTCATGACCACACCCAGCTTGATGGGATATGTTTTACGACACAAATCTGATAGTCATTTCCCAATCTTTTAGTGGCATTCCATTAGAATAGCACCTCGAATATCTTTATTTCCTACAAGGCTGTTATCATATGACTTTCATGTACCACACATACACACATCACCCTCTGCTCTCACCTTTGTCCAGCCCCGTTGCATCCCACTGTCTAGTGCAAAGCCTCCATTTTGTGTGAGCATTGTGGAATGAATATGCCTCATGGGTAACAGGATGTTACAGCAAAAAAGCTGGACAGGATGAGTACCCACACCTATAATCCCAGCACTCAGGAGGCTGAAAGGCAGATCACCTGGAGTTTGAGGCCAGTGTGGACTGAAGAGTGAGACCCTATTGAAGACATATACAAAAACAGGCTTTTTGAAAATTTGTATTCATGTATTTGAGGTGAGGTGTACATGGTGGTCAGAGGACAACTTGCAAATTGGAGTTACCTATTGGTTCTCCTACCATGTAAGCTCTGGGAATCGAGTTGGTATTGTCAGGTTTGGCAGCAAGTGCCTTCACCCACTGAGCCATCTTGTATTTGATTTATTTTTTATTTTTCAGATAGTTTCATGATAGTCCAGGCTGAACAAATTAGATTTTTTTTGGGGGGGGGTCTTTTTGAGACAGTGTCTCCCTGTAGCCCCAGCTGGCCTGGCACTTGCTACCTAGACTACTAGGCTGGCCTTGATCTCACAGAGAGCTGCCTGCCTCTGCCCCCCAAGTGCTGAGACTAAAGGTTTGTGCCACCACACCTGGCTTTAATTTATTATTTTATGTATGAGTGTTTTGCTTGCGTGTATGTAGGTGCACCACATGCATGCGATGCCCACAGAGGCCAGAAAAGGGCATCGGATCCCCTCGAAGAAGGGAATCTGGAAACTGAACCCAGGTCCTCTGCAATCTCTCCAGCCCCACAAACTAAGATTGTAAGAGGCAGAAATAAGAGCTAGAGGTGTAGCTCAGTGGTTAGACCACTGCCTACTGTTCCAAGGCCCTGGATTCATCTCTGGCATGAGGGCAGGGGACAGAAATAAAACATAAGGCTGGAGGTGTAGAGTACTTGTCTAGCATTTACAAAGCCCTGAATTTAGTTCCCAGTACCATAAAAAATTGGGTGTGTTGATGCACCCCTGTAGTCCCAGTACTTTAGAGGTGAAGGTAGGAGTAGCAGAAGTTCAAGGTCATCCTTAGCCACATAGAAAGTTTGAGGCCAGACTAGGCTAAATGACACCGTCTCAGAAAGAGAAAGAAAAAGCAACCATCTGAAGACCTGTTCATTGAACTAGGCCACAGAAAAAAAAACAAAGTTGAACTCCAGTTGAGAGATGCTGCTTCAGATAGCGTTGACAGTCAAATTGGATGTGTTTTAGATCTTTAAATCAAGTATCAACACTTTGGAGGACTCATGGGCTCATAAGGTAAGCCTTGTGGTGGGAGTGGGAGAAAAGGTGGGTTAAATCTTGGGGGAAACAATTATCACTGTTCAGAACACAGGAAGGCAGGAGGATCCCAGAGGTCTGCTGCCAATCGGGAAGGTGGGGAGGCTGTCCAAAGTGCTAAACATTTCAGCCAACCAGGAGAATGAATGAGTGCTGGGGGGTGGGGTTGGGGTAGTTCCCAGCACCATAAAAAATTGGGTGTATTGGTGCACCGCTGTAGTCCCAGTACTTTATAGGTGAAGATAGGAGTAGCAGAAGTTCAAGGTCATCCTTAGCACTCAGAAGGCAGAAGCAGGCAGATCTCTGCTGTGAGATTGAGGCCAGCCTGGTCTACATAGCAAGTTCCAGGTCAGCTGGTGCTACAGGGAAACCCTGTCTCAAAGAAAAAAAAAGAAAAAGAAAAAAAAAATGGTTATCAAAGGAATCAAGTTCTGAAATATAATCAATAAGTAAAAAAAATATGATTGTTAGCCAGGCGCAGTAGTGTATGCCTTTGATCCCAGCACTCAGGAGGCAGAGGCAGGCCAGCCTCTGTGAGTTCAAGGCCAGCCTGGTCTACATAGCAAATGCCAGGCCAGCTGGAGCTACAGGGAGACCCTGTCTCAAAAAAAAAAAAAAGTGTTTTACCTGCATGTATGTAAGTGCACTACATGCATGCAGTGTTCATGGAGGTCAGAAGAGGGTGTCCGATCTACTGGAAGTAGAGTTATGGAAGGGATGGTTGTTAGCCATCACGTGGGTGCTGAGAACCAAACTTGGGTCCTCTGCAAGCACAGCCAGTGCTCCCAACTCTCCAGCCCTATTCAGTAACTTTTTTTTTTTTTTTGGTCTTTTTGAGACAGGGTCTCCTGTAACCCCAGCTGTCCTGGAACTCACTATGTAGACCAGGCTGGCCTTGAACTTTAAAAAAAAATTACATTGTGTGTGTGTGTAGGCATGTTACTACACTGGTGCCATCGTAGGAGGCTATCCCACTGGAGTCTTTTCTCCTTTGACGAGGTGGGTCCCAGGTATGAAACTCAAATTGATGGGTTTGTCTTTACTGGCCCCTAATCAGTAACTTTAATGTTCCTGAAACACAGTTATTGAGAAAAGGGAATTCATTTCAGTAAACAAGCTGGAATTCAGAATGGAGCTCTTCCACCATGTGAGTGCTGGTATTTAAACCCTGGTCCTCTGGAAGAGCAATCAGTGCTCTTAACTGCTGAGTCATCTCTCCAGCCCCCACCCCCATTTTATTTTATTATTATTACTTGTCAGCCATAGTGGAGCATGGGATGGGGAAGAGGCGCCACACTGCCACCTGTAGCAGCCCTTTTGTTTTTGTTTCTGTTTGTTGACACAGGGTCTTAAGTATACTATGTAGCTGAGGATGATTTTGAACTCCTGATCTTTCTGCCTTCATTTCCCAAGTACCTCCATCTTCTAAGTGCTGGGACTATAAATAGGTGTGAGCCACCGTGCCTGGCTACCCAAAACAATCTTTTTTTTTAATATTTAATATTTTTACTTTATGTGTATGAGTGTATTGCCTGCATGTATGTGAGCGCACCCGTGTTGTGCAATGCCGCGAAGGTCAGAAGAGGGCTTCGGATTCCCCTGACCCTAACGGAAGAGAAACCCGGTGACCCGCGGCAGGAAGCAGCCAAGCCTGGCCCACCAGTTCTCCTCTACCCGGTAGCGGAAGTCCCACCCCACAGCGCTTCCTGCTGGCGTGCTGGCGATGGCGGCGGCCGGAGACCCCGGTGGTACGGACAGCTACCGCTCTCCGCTGGCGTCCCGGTACGCCAGCCCCGAAATGTGCTTCCTGTTCAGCGACAGGTGCAAGTTCCGCACGTGGCGGCAGCTGTGGCTGTGGCTGGCGGAGGCCGAGCAGGTAACGGCAGTGTGCGGGTGCAGGGCGCGGGGCCGGCCGACCGGGGCGCACATGGGGCCCGGACACCTGCGTTCCCACCGGGACGCACACTAAAGACTCGCCAAAAATGAGATTTTCGGGGCTGGAGAGCTGAGTCAGAAGTGAAGAGCATGGGCTCTTACAGGGGACTCGGGTTCGAATCCCAGCACCCACATGGCGGCTCACCACCATGCGTAACTACAGTTCCAGGGGATCCCGCGCCTCCTACTGACCTCCACGAGCATTGCACGACACGGGTGCACTTACATTCAGGCCATGCACTCGTGCACATAACAAAATGTTTTAAAATGAGATTCTTAAAACCTTGCAAACTTGGTGATTTCCCTTGTTGCCTTCTTGCAGAGGACAAAACCGAGTCGTCAGGGAACGAGGCTTGCCCTAGGCTACCCGGCAAGGCCCTGAGAGCCCGGCTGGGATTTGACCCTGGGTGGGTCCTGGAGCCTGAGCTGAGTGAGCGGCTTAACTACCACCCCCACCCCCACCCGGCTCCTTCCCTAGTACCTGTGATCCTAGGGGGGAGGATCCTGGTCAGGAGTTATTAGGGAACTTGGGTGGTTTCTCTTACACTCACTCCAAGTGCACTCGGTTCAGCCCTTGGGGGAGGGAGGCTTCCCAGTGCCGGTGAAGGTGATCCAGAGAGCTCTAAGGCCTACCTCTCAAGTTTCAGAGGAATGTGCCTCCGGAGCAGGGCAGCAGCTGCTTCGAGCAACAAAGACTGTATGAGGAACGTTTGGGATCCAGACTTTTTTGTCAAAGATTTATTTTATGCATATGAATGCTTTGCCTGCATATACAGATGTACGTGCATCACATGGGTACAGTGCACATTGAGGCCAGAAGAGAGTGTCAGATCTCCTGGAACTGGACTTGAAGAAAGTTGTCATCCAACATGTGGGTACTGGGAACGGAACCCTGGTCCTCTGAAAGAGCAGCCATTGTTCACTGCTAAGCCAGCTCTCCAGCCCCAAGGACCCAAACTTTCATTCATTCTGCTCAGCCCCCATCAACTGATTAGATAGCATTGGACATTTCTCCAGTGCATTCCATGTCCTGGGTCTTGTTTAGCACCTTTTCAAAGGTGTCTGATATTCCTTAAGCATGTATAAAAAGCTCATCAAGTCTCGAAAAAAAAAAAATCATAGGGAGAGTTAATAAACTACTGGTCCAGCACCAACAGTAGTAGTGAGTAGAGCTTTAATCATGCACTGTGCATTAGGAAGGACTCTACTCATTCATCTGCTAATCCACATTCTGCAGATGTAGCATGCAAGCCTTGACTGGCGTCACCATGACTAGCAAGTAACTTCGCGCTGACACTGCAGTGTAGGGGGGGTTTATCTGGTCTACAAATTGCCTGAAGTGTTTACAGCTGAAGGTGTGAATTATCTGTATTAGATGATTGATACAGATCATATCGCTGGTTGAAAGAAAATGGGAAATGAGAGGCGGTGTGGATTTATTACTATCGTGCAAGTGTGTGCATGATGCAGTGGGGAGGGGCGCATGTGTGGTGGTCCCTCAGATGTTTTGTGTACTTTGTTCTCTCCTTCCACCCTCCCATGGTTTCTGTGGTGGAATTCAGGCCTCCAGGCAAGTGCCTTTACTGCCTGAGGGATCTCACTGCCCTGACAGTGTTTCACTTGAAGTCATGATTCTTCTGCTTCACCCTCCCCAGTGCTAGGAGTCCAGTACAGGCAACACCAGGGCTAGTGTTACAGAGCTGTTAGGGTTTCTATGAGTGAGTCCAGCTGAAGCCAGTGTAAAGTCCCACTGTTTGCACACTCACATGCCAGGTGCTAGGACTTAAGTAATGAACAGAGCAAAGGCCTCTTCTCATGGAGTATACCTTCTGGAAGTCTGGGTAGGTTCCTGGACTATGTGAAAGTGCCACACAGTGATGAGTACACAAAATAGAACCAGGCTAGGGAGTAGCGTTGGCACAGGATGTTTTACATGCAAGTTGGGGAAGGCCTCAAAACCTTGGAGAGGCAGGAGGGAACAGTCAACACCAGGGTTACAGTGTTTTGTGTTTTTCAGTGTACTTGGAATTTACTACGATTTGTTGAGAAAGTTCCTCCACATGGCTCCCTCCCCTATTGGGTACTTTTTAGCTTGGTTGCTCTGAATTTTAATTCAGGAGTTGAGCAGTAGGGAATTTTCTCAGTGTTACTTCAGTTCAAATAATTATACATCAAGTTCATTTGATTTTCATTTGCCTCTTCTGCAGACACTTGGTTTGCCTATCACAGATGAACAAATCCAGGAGATGAAGTCAAACCTGGACAACATTGACTTCCAGATGGCTGCTGAGGAAGAGAAACAGCTGCGTCACGATGTGATGGCTCACGTGCACACGTTTGGCCGCTGCTGTCCGAAAGCAGCAGGCATCATTCATCTGGGTGCCACCTCCTGCTATGTCGGAGACAATACAGTAGGTGCCTGGACTGTTTGTACTTGGGACCCATCTTTATAAAGCATTTATACATTTTTAATTTTTCAGATTTACCAAAGGCCTGACTGCTATGGCTTCTAAAAAGAAAACATTGCACTAGTTATTATGACCCTCAGTTGGTGTCTGTGATCAGATATGGCAGAATAACTGTGTTTTCTGGAGTTTTCTAGGGGCATCTTCTGTTTGGAGCAGTTACTTCCTTCGTTTAGTCTTCACAACCACTGTAGAGATCATCTGATTTCCAGTTTTCAAAAACTGAGTGAAATTTATGCTTTTTCTGACCATATCCAACCCCAACTTATCCGTACCGCCTGAAACATCCTCTGCCTCCATGCTGGCATATACACCCCCTGAGTCTCCCATTTCTGCTGCCTGCTTATGTATAGGCAACCTACTAGTAGACACAAAGGAAGAAAAATGGCTCCCCCTCCCCCAGCAGCTAGATGTGGAGCCTCACAAGCCTCTGTCCCACCCATGATAGAATTATTAACGGGCTTGATCTTGTGCATGTAACCACAACTGCTGTGAGTTGATGGAAAGGCCATGTCATCTCCAGAAGACAGCATCTCACGCCACTCCTTCCTGTTCTTTTGTTCTTTTGGCCCCTTTTCCTCACATTCCCTGAGCCTTATGGGAGGTTGGCAGAGCTGTCCCATTTTGGGCTGAGCTTTCAGTCACTTGTGCTCAGCACTTTGACATGTTGATGAGTCTATAGCACTGCTGCCTCTGTAGAAAGTTTCTCTGATCAAAATTGAGAGCAGCAGTTTATACATTTCTTTTTTATAGTTTTTTAAAAAATATTTCTTAATTTTATAAGTGTATTGCCTGCATGTAAGTGCACCATAACTCCAGTTCCAGGGGATCCAACGCCCTCTTATGTCTTCTCCAGGCATTGCAGGACACAGGTGCACATACATACATGCATACATAACACTCATACACATAAAATAAAAATAAGCTGGGCATAGTGGCACATGTAGTCTATGTAGTGAGTTCCAGGACAGCTGGGGCTAGCTACAAGGAGATGCTGTCTCAAAAATGACAAAAAAAAGAAGGGCATTCTAATTCAAGTTGCCCAGAATACCTTTTATTTCTTGAAATAGGGTCTCAATACATTGTGTTATTACCCAAGCTGGTCTTTGACTTGTGAACTCAGCCTGTCTTCCTGCCCCAGCCATCTGGGTAGCTGGTCTATAAGCCTGTGCCACTGGGGCTGGCTTCTTTTTAGAGTTAAATGATGAATAATTAAAGATACCTGTGTGCAAGTAGCCAGGTACTAGAATAATAATCCTCTTATTTGGAAGTCTTTTTATTATATTTATTTACTTTGGAGGTGGGGCACATGGGCTGTGGTGTGCACGTGGAGGTTAGAGAATGACTTGTAAAAGTTGCTTCCACCGAGCACATTCTGAAGATCCAACTCAGATTGACCAGCTTGGCAGCAAGTGTCTTTACCTGCTGAACCATCTTGCTGGTCTAGAAGATCTTTAGAGTACCCAGGGAATACTCAGTCTCAGTGATGGTAGGTAAGAATGTGTCAGAATTGCCCAAATACTCTGTATCTCTTAGCTCCCCTAAGAGCATTTTGGGGGCTTAGGGATGTAGGTATGTCACTTGCCTAGAGTGCATGAGGTGCTAGAGTCTACCTCCAAAAGAAAGAAATGGCAGCTTTAAGTTTCTTAGACCTTGATGTTCTGGGTCTGGTCTTCTCATATTGACAATACCTATGAGAAAAACTAGGGACAGTACTAATGGACTGTGCCATGACGCCTGGGCCTGGGCCTTCTGGAGAGAGAAAAGCTGTGGGCATGGATGTTTTTCAGTCAATGTAGATAGCACATACTTTAGACAAGCAGGTTTTGTTCCCTATGGATCCCAGTAGTGCTTTTGTCGTGTGAGTTACTGTGGTATGGTTTGGATTTCTGCAGCATCTCTTGTAGCCCAGGCTAGTCTTCAGCTGGAGCTTGCTATGTAAGCAAGGATAACCTTCAACTTTTGGTCCTCCTGCCTCTGCTTCACAAGTGCTGGGATTACAGGTTTTAACCTTTCTGTTTTATGCTGGGAGTTGAATCTACGGCCTCCTGCATGCTAGGCAAGTAGTCTGCCAACTGAGCCATATCCCCAAGCTCAGTTCTCATGCTTTTAAACAATGAGAAAAGAGCCTCCTAGCGTCTTCAGGCACACGCAGTTGCTAAAGTTAAATGGATTGCTTGCTGGCTGAGACAGCCAGCTCTAATGGCCAGAAAGTGCTAAGTAATAATGCTGTGTGACAAAGTTGTGTAATGTGGAACACTGAATTTTCCTTTTTAGGACCTGATTATTCTTAGAAAGGCATGTGACCTGCTTTTGCCAAAGGTAAGATGTTGACAAAAGTTTCCTGCTTGCTTTAGCTTCCTTGTAATAGATGGGTTCCAAGTATAATGATAAATGAATCGACACAGTGTTGATTGTATTGTCATTTTCTCCAGTGAATGACCCTGTTTTTAATCTGTGGAACTAATTGTCTCTCCTTGGGTTAAAATACTGTAAGTGAAGCTGGGCGTGGTGGCGCACACCTTTAATCCCAGCACTTGGGAGGCAGAGCCAGGCAGATCTCTGAGTTTGAGGCCAGCCTGGTCTACAAAGTGAGTTCCAGGCCAGCTAGGGCTACACGGAGATCCTGTCTCAAAAAGACCAAAAAAAAAATTAAAAATACTGTAAGTAAGCCAGACGTGGTAACTCATGCCTATAATCTTGGTGTTTAGGAGGTTGAATTAGGAGGATTGCCACAAATTCAAGGCCACCCTGGGCTACCTAGTGAGTTCCAGGCCAGCCTAAAACACTTTGAGTAAATGCTTTTTAAAGTACAGCCTTTTAAACGTAGGTATTGTAACTAGAGACTTGCCGCTGGAGTATACACCTCAGGGTTATGGCTTGGTCCTGGTATCCTGCAGTGGTCTTAAAATAGTTTGTGACATGTTAGGGAGTTGACTCTATTTTCAAATGTCAGTTTCTAAAGACACAGGAACTACCTTTCATGGGCTGGAGATTAATTTTATATAAAATTATCTCAACATTTAGTTGCAGTTATCTAATGAACTTGGTTGAATTCACCCTCTTTCACCACATGGTCTTTCTTGTAGCTTGCTAGAGTGATCTCGAGGCTTGCTGACTTTGCTAAGGAACGCGCTGATCTACCTACCTTAGGTTTCACACATTTTCAGTAAGTGGTAAGATTACTTTTGGGGACCTGAACTTGTCTGCGTATTGAGGTAACTTGGGGCCCATGAGAAAAGAACCTGATTCACTTTCCCCAACCAGGAAAAAAGTACAAAGATTCCCAGAAAGATAATCACAATGTAAATGTTGATTGCCTTGGTTTAGGACATAACAGGTTAATGAAAATCTTCCCCTTTTTGGTCCATGCATGTGTTGACAAGAGCTCTACCTTAGAGCTACACCCCAAATTGTATAGTTGTGATTTTAAGATATGTGAACTTTTTTTTTGGTCTTTTTGAGGCAGGGTCTCCCTGTAGCCGCCCCAGCTGTCCTGGAACTATGTAGACCAGGCTGGCCTTGTTTTTTGACAGGGCCTTACCATGTAGCGCTGGCTAGCCTGGAACTTACACTACATAGACCAGGCTGACCTCGAACTCACAGAGATCTGCCTGTCTCTGCCTCCTAAGTGCTGGGATTAAAGGCGTGTGCCCACCACACCCGGCTATGTGAGTATTTTTATGTTTACTGGATAACGCCCTTTCTCAAAGCTTATATCATCTTTGAAATGCTAGTGGCAGGCATTGAGTGATGCTCAGTAGTGTAGTATGTTGGTACCTGGTTTATTTTGCCTGATACATTATACATCAAGAACCCATGAAAGCCCATTGAACCTGAAGAAACTTCATGAGGTGTCCAGGCACAGTGGCTGGGTTGTGACAGGTGTGGCTTTCTCTGCTGGCTTCCCTGCACTCTGTCACTTCTGTGTTTCGGCTTAGCTTCCTCTCCTGGGTCTGTAGCGAATGCTCAGGAAAGGCAGCCTCGTTCCAGTGTGCCAGCAGTGGCTCAGAGTGTCAGTCCATGCAGCTACCAGGTCTCACTGAGGTTTCACTGAGTTCACATACCGTAATAGTTATCCTTTGCAGGGCTGGAGAGATAACTCAGCAGTTAAGAGGTTACTGCTCTTGCAGAGGACCTGGGTTCGATTCCCAACACCCACATAGCAGCTCCAGTGCCCTCTTCTGGTCTTCTGGTACATATATATACATGCAGGCAAAACACTTGTACACATAAAATATAAAAAAAAATTTTTTTTTTTGTTTTTTTGAGACAGGGTCTCCCTGTAGCCCCAGCTGGCCTGGAACTCACTATGTAGACCAGGCTGGCCTTGAATTCACAGAGATCCACCTGCTTCTGCCTCCCAAGTGCTGGGATTAAAGGCGTGTGCCACCACGCCCAGCCTATAAA